GAACTGAGTCCCTCATCCCTACACAGAAAGCACTCTTATGGATTATGCTTTTTTTTACTGAGATGGGTAGGAGTCTTGCTACGTGTGTATGTAGCCCACATTGGTCTTGAACTTGGATTCTGACTGCACGGCACCCTGAATGTTGGCTGTCAGCTTGAGCCAACATGCCTGGCTTTATTTTTTTAAAGTCAGAAAGGATAAGATGGGAAGATGAAGGAGTTAAAAAATTAAGAAAATGACAAAGAAGCGGGGGGAGGAGAGGTCAGTGTGAGAAGGAACAGCAGTGCCAGATCATTTGGGCACAGTCGTGTGTGTGTGTGTGTGTGTGTGTGTGTGTGTGTGTGTCTGGTCTGTGTATGTGTAAAGGTTAGGGTCAACCATGGTGTCATTCCTCAGGAACTGCCTACCATGTTTTTCTGAGAGTGTCTCTTATCCAATAGCCTAGAACTCTCAGTCTAAATTAACAAGGCTGGCTGGCCAAGGAACCCTCATCTCCATCCCTTTTGCTCTGAATGAGCAAGAATGCACCTCCACCATGCCCAGCCCTTTTACATGTCTGAAGTCAAATTCTGGTCAAATGCTTGTGTGGCAGCACTTGTCTGACTGAGCCTTCTCCCTGACCTAAGAATGATATAGGGGTGTTTATTTTTTTGTTTGTTTTGTTTCACTGTGTATTTCTGACTGGGCTTGAACTCACTGTGTAGGCCAAGTTAGCCTGGCCCTCTCAGAAATCTGTTGTCTCTTCAGATATCTTGGGGGTGTTCTTTGGAACTGTAGAGGACCAAGGTCCTAGGTTCAGTCACCACTCCCAAAAAATAAATGAATGACCCAGAAAAAAAGCTAGGCACTGGCTACCCAGGACACTGAGGCAGTAGGATTGCTTGAAGCCAGGACTTCAAGACTACCTGAGGATTCGGGGAGGAAAAGGGAGAGTTTGCTTCTGAGTGTCTGAAAGATCTGCCATTGGATGAGATATATAGATATATAGAGAGAGATTTTTTTTTCTTTTCAAGACAGGATTTCTCTTTGTAGCACTAGCTGCCCTGGAACTTGCTTTGTAGACCAGGCTGGCCTTGAACTTAGAGATCCACCTGCCTCTGCCTCCCAAGTGCTAGTGCACCACCACCACCTGGCTCAACAGTCTTTTTTAAGGGCCAGGCATGGTGGAGAAGCCTATAATTGCAGCACTTGGAAGGAGGAAGCAAGAAGATCGGGAGTTCAGCATTACCTTTGGCTACTTAGAGAGTACAGGGCCAGCTTCAGCTATAAGGAGAACACAAGGCCACTCTGAGATATGTGAAATCCTGTCTCAAAAAAACAAAAATAGGAATAATGAAAAGGAAAGGAGAAAGAAAGGAAAGTGAGGAGGAAAAGGAAAGAGACCCAGAGGCCCTGGAAAGAGGGAATGAGAACATTCATTGAGCCCCTGAGAGACACTAAGTCATTTCATTTAGTCTTCAACACGATCCTTGAAGTAGCAGCCATTGCTATCAAGAAAAGGTTTACAGTGGCTTGTCCATGTTCATGAAGATGACCGTAGTGGGCAGGACCTCAGCCTCTGAGCCCCCGCCTCATAGCCATCTTGACACCAACAGAGGGGGGTCAGCTGCGGGAGTCTGGTCCCCACTATTCATTCACTCTGTCACAGAACAGCACCTTGAGACTCTGAGGTCGCAGTGGAGGGGACACCATCCCTGACAGGAGTGGGGCAGCTGGAGGCTGTAGAGCCTTGTACAGACACTCGGCCTTTTTTTCTGTCCTCAGATGTGGCTTTTGACCCAGGCTTTGACACTTCCTGGTCTGATTTGACCAGGTATAGCCTGAGCGCCATTCTGACTCTGACAGTTCCTGACCCAATTTTCCACTGAGGTAGGTCTTGGATGTTCTGGGGAAAGAGATCCTTAAGGTTCAACTCAAAATGAGACTAAACTTAACCTTGACCATCTGGGGAAATGGATCTCCAGCTCTCCTGAAAGCAGAGGGTCATGCGTTCAAATCCTACCCAGGCTGGATGGCAGCTAGGTATAGCAGAGGCTTTAGAGTCGCCTGACCTTGAATCCAGATTCAGACTCCGCTGCTTAGCATGTGACCTGAGCTTAGCCCAAACCAAACCTCAGATGGATTTAGATGTATAGATGAGCAAGATGTAGAGGGAGGATCTATGTGCTCCTGCACAGGCATGAGGACTCAGAAGTCAACCTCAGACATCCACCTCAGGCACCACCTACCTTCCTTAAGATTCATTTTCCTTAATTTCTAATTGTGTGTGTGAGTGTGTGCACCTGAGTGCGGGTGGTCTCGGCATGAGGTGTTTGATTCCCTGGAGCTGCCTAACGTGAGTGCTGGGGACACACTCAGGCCCCTCTCTATACGAGCAGCACGTACTCTTAATCATCTCTCCAGCCCAGCTTTTTCGTTTGTTTTCCTTTTTGAGACAGCGTCTCTCACTGGGTTAGAACTGGCCCAGTAGGCTAGGCTAGCTGGCCCGTGGGTCCCAGGACCTACTGGTCTCTACCTCTCCAATACTAGGATTACGGGCACCGTCGTCACACTCAGCTTTTGGTGTTGTTGTTGTTTTGAGAAAGGGTTTCTCTGTGTAGCCTTGACTATCCTGGACTGACTTTGTAGACCGGGCTGGCCTCAAACTCACAACAGATCTGCCTGCCTCTGTCTCCCAGAGTGCTGGGATGCTCGGCGTGTGCCACCGTGCCTGGCTCACACCCCGCTTTTTAAGGAGAGCATTGCTCTTCTACAATCTTACTACGGAAGATGCCTGCTGCTCCTACGCAGAACCAGATTCCACTGTGCCACTTGCCATAGACAAACCAGCCCAAGAGGGTGGCTGTGTGCTGAGCGGCAGAGAGCTGGGATAGCATCACACAGGGAGCGGGTGGAGGGGTTCTCCTCAATGTTTCAGATTGTTTTGTATCTCACTAGTACTCTTGAATATTTTGGTTTGGATAAAAACACCCACTTATCCCATTTCAGTGACTTTCACCTTTTAGCCATTAGGTTTTAGACTTTCAGGCTTGTCTGTTTTCTCAGGTCACTGTGTTACAAGTTTTCTCATTCTAGTCCCCACAAGCACTTGTCTAAATCACTTTTTAAAGAGACACCGTGCGCATGATGTCTCTTCGCCACAGTATTTGGACGCCAGTTCTTCTGACGTGGAGATCCAGCTATCTACCAGTTTAACGCAATGAGTGTTCATCTTGAATGTCCTATTTGATTTCTGAGACAGAGTCTTGCCATGTAGCAGTAGCCCAGGCTGGCTTGCACCCACCTCCCAAGTGATTACAGGTATCACCCAGGCCTGTCCCAGTGTCCTGTAAGTCACTGACAAGTATGTTTCTGAGCCAGAGGCTGCCGTGTTGGTAACGGTTGGTAACATCCTAGGAAGGAGGCCGCCCTACATTACTGTTCTCCTTCTAACCGTCATGTGCGCTCAGAACACACCCTTATCCTGGCTAAGCTCTGGACCACCTCCACAAATCACCCCTGTGCAGCGATGAAGGACGTGACTTTGGGATGGGTAGGGTTTCTCTTTTATACCTTTCCGGAATGCCTGACTTTTTACAGATTATAAATTGCTTTTGTAATCCTGATCCTACCCAAATGATGTAAAGGAAAACAAAGCCTGTTAAGATAAGATGAAGGTGGTGGGAGCTGCTTGCTGGCCAGGCAGTGAACACTGAGCAGGACTCAGTGGCCACAGCCAGGCTGCAGCCCCTTGAATACCCCTTGAGCTGGAGGTAGGGTGGGGGAAGAGCTAGTCACATGATCAACTTGAAATGTAGATGGTTCTAGAAAGAATCTGGTACGGGCACCACGGATTCTGGTCTTAGGACAAGTCTCTACACGAAACAGAATGGGTGTGTGGTCTTGGTTCTCAGAAAAGCAACTGGCCTACATTAAGCCAAAGAAGAACATGCTGACACTAATGAGAAGCCTAGGCCTCCTTAGAAATCAACAGACCATACAGGAAGTCACGGCCCTTCATCTATCAGAAGAGCCACACTGTGCCTGCTTCACCAGCTCCAGGATTAGCCAACAATGGTACAAAAAAGATAGCGTGGCCCCTACACAAGAACGATTCGAAAATCCGTGAAGCAGTCCATGTCTTAAGAAGAAAAGAAAAAGGAGTTAAGGGTTTTTTGTTTTGTTCTTGAGACATGGTCTCTCTGTGGAGCCCTGGCTGGCCTGAAGCTCACGACGTAGACCAGGCTGGTCTGAGCTCACAGAGATCCACCTGCCTCTGCCTCCTGAGTGCTGGGATGAAAGACGTGTGCTACCACTCGCAGAGGGAGTAAAGGATTCTAAAACACGGGTGAGGGACCGCAGAAAGTGAAGATCACCCTGGCTGCTAGGAACTGCTCTATTGCTCAAGAGCTTGTGAAAGCATTTGGAGGGGCATGAACTAGCCGCATTAAGATGTTCAGTGCCTTCATAATTCCGTTTCTGAAGTCTGCTCTAAAGGAAACACGAGCTGCTTTATCATCAGAGCTACTCCCTGCATCAGGATTTATGACTGTGGAAGGCAATAACTCACATACGGCCCTAGGAGAGCTGGCTTGCTAAGCTCAGACGGAGCCTCGCAGTGGCGCGTCCCATGGCCATTAAAGACAATGTTTATGGAGACTGTAGTAACGCTTAGAGCCGTGTTTATGTTACTATGCTAAATGACACAGGGGGCTATAAAGTTGTACATACAGTACGATTTTAACTACATAAAAATTCACATTAAAGAACGGACAGAAATACTCTCACGTGTCATGCGGTCCCCTGGGGATTAGTCAGGCTGAGTGGGCTTTTAAACCCTTTTTTGAGATACACTTTATTTTGAAACGATTGCGGATTTGCAGAAAAGCTGTGAGAACGCCAAAGCTGCCCTGTTTTTCTTGCCCCGGTTTCCCAGCCGTGAATAGCTTCCCACAGTGGCTTTGCTGCATGCATGTGGACCTCACAGTCTCCACGTGTGCGGAGAAGACACAGTTCTAGCGTTTTCTGAAGCCTTGGAGAGCAGGCCGCAGAGACGATGTTTTGCCGTCCTCAAAGCTCCGGAGCACATCCTGCGAACACAGACGTGGATTCATAACCAGGCCTTCCAAGGAAATCAACAGCCAACCCACAGGCCTCATGCAAATCTTGCCAGTGTCCCTTCCAAGTTACCCTCTAAACGCGTCCTCACCTTACAGCACCTGTTCCAGGATCACCTTGGAGCAGCGTCTCCTCCAGGAAGCTTTGGTTTATCGTAGTCGACAACGGTTACAGAGGCCAAGAGCCAGGAGGAGCACGGTGAGCTCCGTTGCTTCTGGGACCTCGGAGGCCGAACGCTGCAAGTACATGTCCATACACTGACAACTATAGCCACGTGGACTTACATAGGTCTGAAACCGTACATCCACTAGTGTGAATGTATCTAGATATCTACACAGACAAATAAAAACCCAGCCAGCTCTTCAGTTCTTTCTAGCTTTCCCCCTCCCCTCCCCTCGTCCTGTGTCTGCACAACCCCTTCTCCAAGGAGAAACCTACCTTCCAGTATCCTTAGATATCTGTTATTTACTCAGTGTGATGACCCTGGAAGCCACGAGCACACTCACGCCTATTGAGCACACCACCTCAATATGTTCGGCAGACCAGAACCTCTACGAAGCCCCCAATATCAGGAGTTCTGTAACTGCAAAACTCCCATGTATTTGTAGCATCTTCATATGGCAGCACCTCCCGCATCTCCCCATCTTCCCCCGGCAAAACAATTTCAGACAGAACACCTGCATTCCTCCAGAGGCTACACACTTAAATCATAGCCCCAGTGTGGCTAGGAGCTCACTGGAGCATAGGCAGCCGGGACCATGCTTCTCTTCGTTGCCAACCAACTCCTGTGCCCATGCCTTCCAAGGCTGCAGCTTCCACCACTATGGCCTTTTCGAGAGAACTTTTCTTCTCTCTACCAGACAGGCAGCCCTCCCCACATCCCCTGCGGTGGTTTGAATGAGAATGGCTCCCATTCACTTATACGATTGAATACTTGGTCCCCAGTTGGTGGCGTTGTTTGGGAGAGATTAGGAGTGTCACTGAGAGTGGGCTGTAAGGTTTCAAAAGACTCACACTCTTTCTAGTCTCTGTCTCCATCTGTAGGACTCAGTCAAACTCGGTCGGTCAGTCGGTCTTGGTCTATGTTACTCTGTGTCTCTCTGTGTCTGTGTCTTGGTCTGTATTACTCTGTGTCTCTCTGTGTCTGTGTCTCTCTGAGTATTTCTGTGTCTCTGTGTGTATGTCTCTCTGCGTCTGTGGCTGTGCATATGTCTCTCCGTGTCTGTGGTTGTGTGTCTATGTGTCTCTGTGTGCATGTCTCTCTCTGTCCATCCATCCATCAGTCTGTCCATCTCTGTGTCTGTGTGTCTCTCTGTTTCTGTCTTTATCTGTGTCTCTGTCTGTCTATCTTTGTCTGTCTTTCTATCTCTCTCTGTCTGACTCTGTCTCTATCCCTGTGTCTGTCTGTCTCTGACTCTGTCTGTCTCTGTCTCTCTCTGCCTCCTTGCTTGTGGATGAGACATGAGTTCTCAGTTATGTCTTCTTGTGCCTGTCTGACCTCCATGTGGCACAGAGAATGGTCCCCCTCCCCCACCAAATTCACATGCTAAATGCCAAAAGTACCCCCACTAAACATAGACACTAAGTGTCAAAAAAAAATTTTTTTTTTAATTTTAAGGCCACTCCTGTCCCTTCATCTTGTTGTCTTACTTCTGGCCCTGGGCTGGTGGAGAAGCCTACTTTGCATCTCCGGAGAGGTCCAGCCTAGGTCCTGTGTGCTATATTCATAAAGTCCCTATGGAAACCTTCATATCACCACACCTCAGCGTCCTCATCTGCAATACCATGCCAGCTCCTAGGAAAAAGCTCCAGCATGGAAGTCAGGTCTGGGCTGGTGTATAAGAAAATGAGGATGATACTGAAGGCATTTTCTTGTCCTACAGCCATCCTCGTCCACCCAACCACAACCTCCCCTTTGTAGCCTTCAGTGTCTGTTTAACCAAGGATATAGGTTTGCAATGTACAAAAGCCTCATTCAAGCACCTAATGTGGAAAAGTAAGTGGCATGGTGGAGGCCGTTGGGGTATCTCAGCACAGTGCTTGCCCGGCATGCTTAAAGCCCTGAGCTCAGTCCCCAGCACTGAAGGAAACTGGGTGTAGTGGTGCATGCCTGCCTGTCATTGCAGGTGAATGCAAGAGGATCAGAAGTTCAAGGTTACCCTTAGCTGTACAGCAAGTTTGAGGCCAGCCTGGACCACATGGAACTCTGTCAAAGGGAGGGTGGAGGGGATGCTGCAGCTATGGCTCAGCTGTTAAGGGTATCTGGGTTCAATTCCCAGCACCTCCATGGTAGTTCACAGTGCTCTGTAATTTTAGTTCTAGAGGACCTGACACCCTCTTCTCACCTCCTGGGTACCAGGCAAGCATGTGATACACAGAAGCAAATGTAGGCTAAACACCCATATGCAATTATTAAAATAGGATATTCTTAACAGGGAGGAAGGAAAGGAAGCAGATCTAACAGGCTTCCCCAACTGAAGGTAAGATTTGTGTCTACACCCAGTCTTCCGGAGTGTCTTTCTTCTGTTCTTGATGCTGGCTGGGTGAGTTTTCCCTTGCCAACAGGTTTGCTCTGGTTTGCCAGCATGCCTAGGCTCACATCCTCTCAGCTGAGCATCCCCAGGACAGTCTGACCCCCCAGGTCCAGGACAAGCAGAAGCTTTATTTTCACTGGCTCCTTGTCTATCTTTAACCCAGCCAGGTGCTGTCCAGAGGACCCCGATGAGCCAGACAGGCCTGGGACACATGCCACCTCTTCCCAGAGGGGTGAGGAGGAGGAGTCTCCTAGAGGGAAATTAAGGAGCAAGTATGAGACAGGAGGATGGGAACTGTGCACTACCATCCTGCAGCACGGAACCAAAGGAGGCCAGGACCCAGTCTCTGCTTCAGGAGGTCCAGCTGGCACCTCTCCTGAGGCATAGCAGGCACTGTCTTGTGCCTTTCTACCCTCTGTGGCACTGGCTGCACAACAGAGAGAGGAAGGGGGGATGCTGAAGAGATGGATCAGCAGTTAAGAGCACTGGCTACTCTTCCAGAGGACCTGGGTTCAATCCTAACACCCACGAAGAGGCTCACTCATGATTGTCTGTAATCCAGTTTGGGGAGATCCGATGCCCTCTTCCAGCCTCTGCAGGCACCGGATGCACGGACATCCACATAGGCAAAACACCCTTACACATAAAATAAATAAGTAATTTTTCCTTTGAGAAGAATATATGGGGACTGGCCATAGTGTCACACAACTGTAACCGTCACACTCATGAGGCTAAGATGGAAAAATCACAAGTTCCAGACAAGCCTGGGTGCCAGATTCTTGGGGGTGAGAGTGGGGCAGGGGTAGGGAAGAATGGGGGGGGATAAGCAGTAGTGGATTACTAGCCACTACTGACCTGTACATTTTTAAATAGTTAGGATGGAGAGATGGCTCAGTGGTTAAGAGCACTGTCTGTTCTTCCAAAGGTCATGAGTTCAATTCCCAGCACCCACGTGGTGGCTCGCAACCATCTATAATGTGAACTGATTCTCTCTTCTGGCAGGTATAAATGCGGATAGAACACTCATATACATAAACTAAGATTTACATCTTTAAAAAAATACATAAAATAAGGTTTATATCTTTAAAAAAAAATAGTTAAAATGGTAAGTTTTACCCTGTGGGTTGTTTTTTTTGTTTTTTGTTTTTTGTTTTTGTTTTTTTTACAGTAATAATTAAAAAAAAAAAGAAATAAAAAAACTGTCTCCCTGCATCTGGAGCCAGAGAAGTAAGACACAAGTGGAAACCATACAGGAGGTCCCTAAAAGCAACCTGAGCCTGGGAATCCCATAGTATGGACCACGGGTTAGGAACTGGCCTGTCTCGCATGTTAAGGAGGGTGCCAGTAGAGTCAAGTCCCAGGTAAGTCAACGAGTGACGTCATCAGAGCCGTGATTCCCACTCTGTTACACACAGCTAGCTGTAAGTCCAGCATGGCTCCCGCTAGGTGTTATAGGATTAGCCATCACACCATAGCTCATTAAGTCTAAGCTCATCAACAGGACAGCGTCTGCCTCCACGAGCTGGCAGCACTTCTGCTGCCTTTTGCGGGGGAGACAAAACCAATGGTCCTGTCAATGATTGCCAGGCACCTTGGATTCCGTGGCATACTACGACTAAAATAAGAACAGCCCGGCCCACCACTGTTAGCCCAGTTCAGGCAGCAAACCGGGGCACAGATCCGCATGGCGAAGAGCACAGGAACGTCTTGAGGGCAAAGCACAGTCCTGGGGAGCATGGCTGGCAGTGAGCCTGCTGCCCTGTTTCTATCTTATTAGATCAACCCCTGCCCACCAAGGGTCTGCACGGATGGACAGGATATATCTAGAAAAGGAAACTGGCTTCTCAGAGGTGCAGCCTTTGCAGAGGAAGGAAAATGCTGTTTCTTCCACGAGCCCTGCACCTGCACTTAGGAGATGCCTGTGGTGTTGGTGACAACGCCATAGCTCAGGGCCTTCAGGAGACCCCAGGGCTAGACAAGAGCCCACCTCCCTTAGGGGAGGGAGAGAGCAGTCAGAGATTGCCTCAGAACTGGTCTGTTTTCGTTGTGAGGAAGTGCCACGTGACTTAAGAAGCCAGTGACTTCCCAGCCACCCTGGGTTTCCTGACACTGCTCTGCACAGCTCACATTCAGCTCCTTATCCTGGCTGTGCCCACGAGGAGACGCTGGGAGGGACTGGGGTAGGGGCAGGGTGTGGGGGAAGGCAATGGGGGCCCGGACACCCACCTAGGCCCAGGAGCCAAAGGCCAAGCACCAGGCCTAGGAAGCAGCTCCCAGTGCCAGCAGGAACCGGACGCAACAGATGTGCTGGCACGCCTGTAATCCCAGCAGCACTTGAAAGGTTGAGGCAGGAGAGTCACCAGCTCCAGGAGAGTCTGGGACATGTAGCTGGACTGTGGCTCAAAAAAAGAAAGAAAAGAAAATCTAATCAGACAGTTAGAGTTACTGTCCTTGCTTAAGACTTCAGACGCGAAACAACAAATTCCAGAGGTTCCCGGAATCCACAGTGAGCTGTGTGCAGGCAAACTGTCAAGAACCGCTAGCCTTCCTGGGGCAAACCAATGTGACAGCCATGTCCCAGTGCCCCTCTCTCCCCCAGCCTCTAATTCCTCAGTTACAACCCTCCAGTGCTCGGGAGATGGCTCGATGGATAAAAGCATGTGCCACTCAGGCATAAGCTCTTGAGTTTGAGTCAACAGAAC